TCTTGCTTATATCTTCGTTTATATCACTACAAGAATCTGTTGTGATGTAGTTCATATTAGCCTGTGCTTGGTGAGTACAGTTGGCTTTGTTATGAAATAACACAACGTTTGCGTTTATTTACATCATAATTTAACACTAATTATTCGGCGTGGGATGTAAGACATCTTATATAATATTATAACAACATTTTCTCTTCACTCCCTTAATTTGGTTACATTCAATTTGGACATACGAAAATGAATGCTACTACGACCTCTATCGTTAAAACAGTATCTTCTAACAATACTAATGCAGCTTTATATACAGGATGTCCGAAAAGTATGGAACCATAGGTGCTATGCAGCTTTTATTAATTTCAGATAAGTGACTGATTATGGCGCTGTCAAAGCAGGAGAAAGTCGAGTTAACCTGCTGTGTGACAAAGATGGTTGGTCCCAGCCGAATTTAATGCACGCCATTCAAAGAATCAGAAAAACATTACTCACAGTGACACGAATATGCTCCGCAGTGTTCACAGAGAATGGAAATACCGTCTCCAAGCTTGTTTCGAATTATAAGGACAGCATATGGAACATTCTAAAAGAAGATACTGTGATTTACCCGTTTGTTTGATATGAACTTTTCCATATCACCGGCACTGTGTAAAAAGCAATAGTAACTGTTAAGCCTAACATATATTTTCTGCCTAATATAAGTAATTTTAATTAATATGCAAAGTTTACCACCAATAAAGAAAATGTAGTTTCTTAAATTATTTTTTTTTAAGTTTTGTTTCTCCGTTTAACAAAACAAAAAACTCAGAAGTTGTAAGATTGTACAACAGATGTCAAAACCAAGATAAGAAGATTAGATGCGATTTCAGCTTTCATTGCTTTATCGAAATGAAATTATGATAAAACTGAAAGGAGAAAAATCATTTTATTTTGCCAGTGGTGGTTTTATGCGTTGATCTTGCAAGTAAATATTTGTTCTCTAAGTTGAAGTAAGTCTTCAAAATTATCCTATTTATTTTCTAAACTCACATCCTGTGGCTATCCTTTCTCTGTTGAGTAGGTTTTGATTGAGCAAACGATGTTATTTCCCTTTGAATGAAACAAAATCCAATTACCTTCTCAGTATTAGTGCCCGAGCATCTGTGTTCTTGTGCCTGTGTCAAGTTTTCGTCTAAACAGTGTAAATCACCTTACTCTGTATCCAAACTAATCAACTTTTATTGATTTGTGTGACACATGACTCACAACTTAACAAGTTCTAATGACGTAATATTATCAACTCGCGTGTGGCACTCTATTAAGGCACAGTTAAAGTTCTTTGAGCCATCGTTCCATCCCGTCCACACAATACCGCCACCGAGCGGTATCCCTTGGGATTACGAGGCAAGCATGAATCGTGAATAGACTTACACGTCTTGCAGTATTGTTTAGTTAAAAGTTTCGTAAGAGGGGCTAAGCAGAGGGCGAAACCAGTAGGATATCAGGCTGCGAAACACACACTAACACCATTAATTGTATTTTGGAAATGTCGTTATTTGAAGTCAAAAAATCAAAATATAGATGCGTCTCTTAATAAGCGGGCTCACTTATTTCAGAAACACTGTGGAAAACAACTAGTAGCCTGTCCAATCACTAAGTCTTAAGTCTAATATCCGCTCGCTAGTACTGTAGGTATGTTACATTAAGACTGCCAAGTTCAAAGCCTAACGTATTAATGCCGGTATCAGTCTTGTTTTAATCTCTACTAAGGCTGAAATTAAAAACCACTTTATAATCAGTAAACAAGAATTGAAAAACAGTCAATGTAAGTGACGTGCAGCATTTCAAACTATAAATTTTCCAACAAGAGTTAATAAAAAAAGAAAACAAACAAAAACTTAATGATTAGGTAAAATTTACAAAAGCTCGTTAAAAGTAATTGATAGTTGATTATACATTTCATCAATAACAAGCATTTATTTGTTTGTTTTACTTGTTCGGTAATTCGCGCAAAGTTACACAAGGACTATTTCGGATAGCTGTCCCTAATTTTGAACTGACAGACTAAAAGAAAGGCAGCACCCACCGTCATCTGTTGGGCTACTTTAATCGAAATAATGGGATTTGGACGTCTTTCTTATATAAATAAATAAATAAATATATATATATATATTTTCTTCAGAAAAAAATACGAGGAAATGCTACAAGGAAAAACTAAAACCATCAGTAATGGTTGGAGACGGCTTGAATGGGTAACGAGGAAAACTCCAACAATTATTAGTCTCGTCATCGAAATTAAAACCATCAGTGTTCACTGTAGCTATTGCCATCTGTTGATGAATTGTCAAAATAAAATATACATAAGGAAGCTTGCATGTGTGACACAAAAATGAAGATTTATCTAATGCGCAATTATCGTATAAGTGGGACTAGAAATATAAAGTTCAAATAATTAATTACACTACCTTATTAACCATACTAGAAAATCACAGTAAATGTTAATCAATGGTGGAAAACTCTTAAATATAAAATTTATCTTTACAACTTGTTGCTACATCAATTACGATGGAAAATCACGAAATTAGATTTCTTCAATTTTTAATTTTATTGCAAAATAATCTCAATCTTCTCCTGGAAGTCCTCAAAAGTAATAAAAGTATTGAGGCGTGTATCATATTTTTAAATAGTAAGTTTACAGATGTCTTATTTTTATCTAAATTGCAAGTAACAAAAGAGTTAAAACGGTAAGTTACATTCCTATAACTTTAAAACGAAACTTGAAATTTCCAAATTATTCCAAATTTTAAAATATATATCAACTATTCATGAAATATCTATTCTTCTAGTAATCTCATAAAATGCTTCTAAGTTAGCTTCTATAATATATGTCGCGCCTAACGAAATATCCATTTACAGTAATATAATCAATAGTAATTAAAATTTTCAATGTTCTGTTTACTGCGGTGGCGGCTATAGGCCTAGGCAACGGCCTAGGACTCGTTAGTGTTAGAGGGCCTTACAAGATACCCGTCTGTGTTCGCGCTAGCCGATCGCCAGTTCGCTATGGCCCATGAGCAATAAAAACTTCTACTCCACGTGCTATGAGCATTATTAACGTTCTGGAATTAGGTGTTGTCTTTTGGTATTGCTATAGAATTTTAATACTAGTAATACACGACCTTATAAAACTAAATTTGTCATTATTCTTTAACTGGACATTCAACGTTTCGCTTTATAGCTTCTTCAATAGCGTCCCACTAAAACATCGATACAAATGTTTGTACTGTTAGTTATGGTTTGTGTTTTTTGTGAAACGCTCTTGAAGAAGCTGTAAAGCGTAACATTGAGTGTACAAATAAAGAAAAATAACACATTTGGTGTACGAGGTCGTTTATGGCTAGTTTTAAGATGTCTTTTATACACCAATATGCACTACAGAAATTAAATAATTGTTAGAGAACTGGGAAAATGACTAACAACAACTCGTTGTTAGTAAGTCCAATTTACAGGGTGGTCCAAAATTATATTTCCTATTTTGAAATTTAATAACTCCAGTGGGTAGTGTTACTCCGTAAAATGGCAACCGTGCACGTAAAGACTCAACGTGTCGTTTGGCTTGCAGAGAGCAAATCAGTGACTATGATGTAGTGTAATTACAGACAACAGTATGGGAGTATGTTAAGGATATTGTGTATCGCACATCAAGGAACTAAAGCCCAGAATAACGGACGTCATCGCCACTGTAACTGTGGACGACGCCTGAAATCAACTATCGGTTAGGCGTGCAAAAAGCACTAATGAGTTGAAGTGTAGCATGTCAGTAAAAACTATTTGATTTGGGCTACACAGTAATAAAGACTGCATGGTTGTACTTTCTAAGTTAATTGATTATTTATTTTTAAAATAGGAAAGAGAATTTTGGGCCACCATGTTTTACTTTGGATAATTGTTATAATATCTACGGTAAAAAAAAAAATCATTAGTAATGCCTATATACGAGAATTCTTAATTTATATTATATATTGTTACGACATCTGGGTCACGTGACGCTAGTAACACGTCATATTCTCGAAGGTTCCTGAAGCCTCGAAAGGTTACTAGATATGTGGTATTCTTGTATATATAAGACCGGTAAGAAGTGACGGCAACAATGTAATGTAATTGAACTGCTGACAGAGAGAGATGTATTGTTGAGTCGAGCACGTGAGTCGTTCGTTGTGGATTATAGCGTTTGTTATAGCGTGACTGTGAAAATTAAGTGTATCGCAAAGTTGTATTCACAAAGAATAAACCAGTTTTATTTAAGAAAGGACTTGTGTCGCTAAAGTTTCTTCGGAAATAATTTTTACGGAAAATTAACTAACGACCAGAGACGTAACAATATGTACTTAAAATGAGAGAAAAGTGATTGAGCCACATTAAAATACACAACAAAGCAAATGCTATTAGGGCATTGTAAACTAGTGCTTCTCCCATGTAGAATTCCTAGGTATAGCTCAAAATCTCGTAGTACTGTTACTGTTCTACTGTCAAAAAACTATAATGTGCTCATCCTTTTAGCCATGGGGCCGTTATAATGTCACTATCAATCCCACTATTGTTGGCGGTGGGTGGTGTTGACTCGCTGCCTTCCCTCTAGTCTATTACTACTAAATTATGGGCGGCTAGCACAGATAACCCTCGTGTAGCTTTGCACGAAATTCAAAACAAAATCTTATTCACCTTAATTTGTCTTTTATGTATTTGCTATTGATACACAATCGAAGGAAATAACTAAAATTTTTAAACATAAAAAATATAATTCTATTTAGAAGTTTAAATATTTTGATTTCTTTAGATCTTTCAATGAATCGATTAAATTATAATAGAATTTTTTACTGTTAATCATTTAACTATTTCCAAAATTTTAACTTAAATCTCAATCTCAATATTTCATAAAAAATGTTATTAACTATTTAATTATTACAACTAGACACCAATACCGGCTGGCGGTAGGTTAGAAAAAAAAAAGTGCAAATATAAAACCAGTTAGACTATCTTGGAGATGCTTTATCTAGGCCTGTAAATGCGTATATTTGTATATGTATGTACATACAAACATTATCAACTAAGGGGTAAGATAGTCAGGAAGTTTTTTGCAGTGAACTGTTGAAAATAATTAGTTTTCGAAAATATAGCATTTGGATCGAATGGCTACTCAAGAAGTAACAGAATTTCAGTTTTCAGATGACGATGAAAACTTCATAAATAAGGACACATCTTGGGGTCAGCTTTTACCTCTTGGAATATATTTTTATGCCATTGGTTAGTATTTAGAATTAAGTATAAATTGAACAAAAAATCGTATGAGTTATATCATAAACTTTTGGAATATAATTTGTAGGTAGTATATTGCTAAATGTGGTATATTGCCAGTACTGGCACCGTGGCAGTAGTACTACCACAACATTGTAGTTTGTACTAGTAGTAGTACTACTACTAAATAAGAAATATAACATAATGAAAAAATTACAATCAGTAACTGTTAAAGATTTAGTTAAACTACATGTGAACAACAAGAGACTATTTAGGCCCTCAAGGCTGTCTTCATATACCCACCCCTGCAAGAAAAAGTAACAAACTATAAGTGCTGCATCTGGCAACTTGACCAGTATTATGTCTTTTTATGGAATAGCATAAATACCCATTTTCTTTTCCAGTTACATGATATATGAGTGATAGCCTTATCTTAAACTCATACCCTGTTAGTCTCATTTCCAGACTGAAATCCTTCTTGAATCTGTTGCATACTGTTGGCTGGAGCGTGTGGATGTCTTTTGCCACTGACCTTTGTGTTGTGGATTTTCACCTCTTACAAGATGATACACTTTGTTTACCATAGCTGGTGTATGATTTATTTCAGGTCCCTTTCTGGATGGTCGTGATGTTCCTTTCTTATCCAAGGTTATTAATGGATGTCACCATTTTAAAAATTTTTGATCTGAGTGTATGAATATTTTACAATGAAAAGGGCTTTTACCTACCATTTCCAAAAGTGATTAGCACTTGGCAGTATCACACTTGCTATAAATGTTTAAATGTAATTTTGATACATGCCATTCCAACATGACTTCATATCAGCTTTGTTGTCACATGACTTGCTAATAATTTCTTTTAGCACAATATACTCAATCTTTTATATTACCCACTCTTGAATTGCTTTGAAACTTCTTTATTCTTATTTGGAATAATAGGGTCAATTAAAAAATCAGACTTGCCTCTAAAGTACTGAAAATACAAAAAAAGTGATTAACATCACTTAAGGAAAAAGGAATTTGTTTAATATTTGGCCAATCATCTTTAAGACCATTTGTTCTAATGTTAACCATGTAATTTTTTTACAGTGATTTTAACCATTTTGTATTTCTAAATTTTATCATGCTACAGTTGCATTTATTTCTTGTGGAACTTCTACAATACACAAAACTATTATATCTTTTAGATATGGTCAATCTGTTTATTGCAAATATAATTAAACAGATTTAAACAATGCACGAGTTTAGACTTATTGGTAGTGTTAACATACTTGGATATGTAAATTTAGGTTTTTAAAATTGTTTTAAGGGACATGCATTGGTGGTAGATTTTGTTTCCAGTTTTAGGTTTCATAGATCTCTCTAACTTTTACAGGGAGTAGGTGACATTGTACGTTGTCAGTTGGCTTGTCTCTCTGTCAGGATTTAAAAAATAACTAAACAAATGATTTTTATGTTCTAGAAATGATCGTTAACAATTTTTTGTGTGTGATTAAATTTAGTTCCGGTACTTCTTATTCCTGACAGTGATTTTTGTATTTATTTTTTCCTCAGACTTAGTGAAAGAGAAATACATTTTTGGCAGAGGGGAAGACTGTGATTATTGTTTTGGGACCTTTGGCCAGCTAAGAAACCATCCAAGTTTCTTGTCCTACAGTAATAATCATTTTATTTTGACTCGGGTAAGATGGCTGTAACATTGCTTTCCTTTTTTTTTTTTGTACGTGTAGTGCAAATTCTATATACTACTTTTCAAAGAGTACAGTTTTGTAAAATTAGGTATCTGCTGTTCTCATTACTTTATAAATTCATTATTTTTCCATTTTTCCATCTACTACATCACAAATTCATTAATTTTTTCACCTTACTGCATTACAACTTAAGCATTTCTATTTTCCTCCTACTGCATTACAAATTAATTCTTTTCACTCTTTCCCTTATTGTATTACAAGTTAACTTTTTCCATTTCCCTTTTTTATTACAAGTTAACTTTTTCCATTTCCCTTTTTTATTACAAGTTAACTTTTTCCATTTCCCTTTTTTATTACAAGTTAACTTTTTCCATTTCCCTTATTGTATTACAAGTTAACTTTTCCATTTCCTTATTGTATTACAAGTTAACTTTTTCCATTTCCCTTGTTGTATTACAAGTTAACTTTTTCCATTTCCCTTGTTGTATTACAAGTTAACTTTTTCCATTTCCCTTGTTGTATTACAAGTTAACTCTTCCCATTTCCCATGTTGTATTACAAGTT